TTGATTGATGTAGATGAGAATCTAGTGACCGATAGTGATGGTCACAAAGAGTCACTGATATTGGACACAAGCGCTGTGTTAGGCAAGCAAATACTCAGTATCAAAGAAGAGAAAAAGAAGGAATTACTCACTTCTGATGTGGTTTAGGTGGTGAAACAATTCCTAACAAAAAAAGACTTCAAGCATGCATGAGGTAATGGTCACAATGGCTGTCCCAGACTGCTGGTCCCCGGTTTCAGCAACTTTATTTTCCTGTATGTTGGTATAATTGCTGCGAGGCCTGCTGTGGATCCTCCATGTCGGCTCCTGCCTATGAAGTGGTATTCAGACCTGTGTTTGATAACAAAGCTGGAAAGTTGTATTCCGTATGTGCGGCCGCACTAACGAATGCAGGTGAATAAAGATCCACGAGGAGTGTAGTTTTCTCTTAGTGGGTCCAGTCAGCATGGATTTAGCCAAAGAGGAGTGAACAGATAGTATTCAGAATGAAGGTAGTACTGTCAGATCCACCATGATTTGGTTGGTTTGCTTTGCCATCAGTGTCCCCAAAGGGATCCCGTATATCCAGCAGAGTCTGCAGAGTAAAATCATGGGCACACAGGGAGGGCTGCACACACGTTTAACCCTAGGGTTTAACCCCTAGGTTAAACCCTAGGGTTAAATTACAAAATAACAGTACTCATACTCAATACTGAAAAACCGGTATCGGTGCATCCCTAATTATTACATCCTTACATGTATTTTTTATATGCAAACAGTGTAAATATCTGAATATAACTCAGTATCAGCCTCTTAGAGTCCATGTACAGCAGGGCTCAGACTATGAGAAGGAGAAACAGTACAAGGAACCTATCCATTGTGCTGTAGTGCAAAGTGCATACTGATAGGAATAGAGTCCAGAGTGATGAGGAGATGAACTCATCAGTCTGCTGCTTCTCCTATCATTGTCCAATCACAGGCAGGTAAAACATCTCCTGTATATGTATTTTATCTGTATATTTAGTAACTTGCCTGGAGTTCAGCTTTAAACAAACCCTTCCGCCAGTCCCGTGTACAGAAATTCTTATTGTTCCTGTGCATAACTTTATACACCAGATTGTGATATTTTCACATCATGCTTGCTGCACCATAATGTAATGATCATTAGTCATAGATTGAGTCATAGTTGTTCCCTATCACAGCAGTTTGTAGGCTAAGGTGGTTTCTGAGTGTTCATTGGCAGTCTGTATACTCTAATCTACTGCCACATGTAAGTTTTGGCAGCACTAGACCACATAGTCTGGAGGTGTGATGATGTGTGATGATGATGGAGACTATACAGAGAGTATGGAGTATGGAGCTGTGTACATAGTAGTAGACCTGTTCTTGATCTTGATACCGGAGTTCCAATGTCTCACCTTTCCTTGGTTGATGATCTACAAAGTGCTGAGATCATGTAAATGGACTTTACAATAAAAGCAAGAACATAAGTTTTTTTAAAGTGCTGGACTGAGTTAGTTTATATGTTTCTGTGTCCCCTCTAGGGTAAGGGACTTCCCTCCAGTGGTGTAACAATCACCATAGCGACACAGGCGGCCGCTATGGGGCCCGGGGCACAGGGGGGCCCAGCCAGGACATTCCTGATGCCCTGCGGGCTTATCCCATAGCACCTTTTCTTCGCCGCAAGACCTCAGTCATCCAGGATGAAAGATGTGCAGAGTCCCCTAAACTGGAAGTCACCTAAGTGCACATACTATGAGTGCAGGGTGTCAAAACCCCATCCCCTGTAGGGGTGTTACTACTACTGGCGAAGAGAGGCGCACAGGCAGGGGCAGACCTACCAGCTGGTGCCCGAGGTTTGGGGGGGCCCAATGAGATCTGGTCCCAAAGCCGCCGCCGCCGCCCCCTGTGCCGTAATCTCCATTCCACAAAGTGTCAGCAGACTCATTCACCCTGAGTAGGGCACAGGTGGGCTGGTCTGGGGCTGTGTCCAGGGCGCTGCACAGCTCCTGGATCACTCTGCTTCTCAGCTGCGGTGATGGCAGTGCAGTAATCTGAACAGGCTGGAGCCCTGGTGGAGGTGATGGTGAGGAACCGATGATGGTCCGACAGACTTCTGAGCAGGGGGGGGTAGGGCCTGACTGGCTTCTGAGAGGGGAGCACCAGCAAACTTGCACCAGGGCCCTTTGTTCCTTAGGTCCGCCACTGGGCACAGGTCAATGGTGCATCATTGAAGACCACCCAACACTAGGAAAAGACCAAAGAGGAAGAGTACCCAGCAAGTCACATGACCAAAAAGGCAATTGTCAAAAATAAAACATTAAGGTGATTACATATTGAAAGCGGTAACGTGTAGTACCGTGTACTATCACATCAGCATATTGCATCCATCAAGGCAGCAAGCATTGCTTCATCTTGGCAAATTAGCCCCAGAGCACGACATAGAATTAAGTTACATTATCTGGACAGCAATACCATGACCTGTCCCATGAATGTGTCTCATTGTAGTAGAGGCCGGTGACTCTTATGTTCAGGAATGCAGACATTCCTCACTTACATTAGGAAACGTCTCTCAGAGCTTCAGGGATCCGATTGATCACGGCTACGATGAATACACAATTCATGATCATTTAACATCTAAAAGTCTTCTCGTCACCTACAGTCACAAAACCTTTTATCATGGCAGGAAAAAAAATCCCCTCTGCTGTCTGCTGCTAATGCCACAATTTACAGTTCTGTGTCATCATTGCAGCAATCTATTATACACAAAGCCTACAAAAGGAACATAAACGGTCATGCCGCATTTTTGGACGAGGTTAGAAAAATGGATTTCAGCTGTTATTTTATCTAAAAAAATGAAGGAATGTGAAAGGTTTCTCTTCTGTTCATATTTTATTAAAACTGGTGCCTAAGAGCAATTTGCAGTCATGTTCAAGGGGTGTAGGGATTTTGTATATATTGTCTCTACCTCGTGCAGGACTAAAAGTATACTTTTAAAAACTTTTCTTTTTTGTCCAATAAATATGAAGTATTAATATATATACTGATATATATACACTGAGTGGCCAGATTATTATGACCACCCCATCAGTACTTCGTTGGGCCACAAGATAACTCCACGAGATGACTTCGTTGGGCCGCCTCGTGACTCCACGAGATGTTGAAAGGTGATGCGAGGAATCTGACACTGCACTGTTGCCCTTCTGTTGTCTTGTACCAGTCTTGCCACTCTCTGTTCTGGCCTAACATTGACTAGTCGCTGACGGCCACAATTCACACGTTCAGACCCAGATTTTCGGCTGACAGTCCAGTCTTTAAACACTTTAACAACAGCTGCTCTTGAACATTTAACGGATTCTGCTGTTTTGCTGATACTCGCTCCATGGCTCAGAGCGCCAACAATCATCCCACGTTCAAAGGCTGTTAAATCGCTTTGTTTCCCCGTATCTTCAGAAAAAAATCACTTCTACTGTCGTGGTAAACAACCTGCTTCCCTATTTATAATGGTACAATACAGACTAATGATTTCAGGACAGTGGTGGGGCGCCAGAGCCAGGTCCCAGCTGCAACCTCTGCCACCCCGGTAGTTCTCATGAAAATGCCAAGTATCTGCACTGGTACTCGAAAAGTATCTGTGCATCCCTACTATTTATAATGGTCTGGCCCTCTAGCAACTTCAGTGCCAAATTATAGCTAATTTGCCTACAAACGTCAGGTGGTCATAATAATCTGGCCACTCAGTGTATATATATAGATATAGATATCGATCGATATCTGTAGATATCGATCGATATCTATATCTATATATATACCATCCAGTAGGTGGACAGCTGGGCTCTTTTTTTAAATATTTACCTGGCTAATTTTAGCTGCCTTGCTGAAAATAGACCATTGATTACAGATCTAAATAACTTGCCATCTGCATCCCATTGGGAAGATTTCCCTTTACTTACTGTTCTGAAGACACAACAGGAAGTGAGTGGAAATCCCTCCAAGGTGAGAGAAAGTCCGCTCCCAATTTTCACCATTTGGTACCATCATTTGAAGATTTCCCTACCCCTTTCTGTTCCTGTAACAACTGTCCTTTTAAAATCAGTTTAGATTTGTGTGTCTGAGCTTGTTATTTAAATTATGACTTCTAATCATTATGTTTTTGTTTTTTTCAGACCCAGAAACTCATCCTCCACAGCCAGCAGAGTCTGCAACAGCCAGAGTCTTTCCAAATGGGACCAGAAAGAACGGGCGCCGTGGGGAAATAAGGGTCACAACCCAAAGGGCCTTCCGTCGGCCGCCGCTGATCGATGCCCCAACCAGCTTCCCCTCCAATAGACCAACTCTAGAGACTCCGATCTGCAACAAGAACAGCGGCACGTGTGAATTTGTTGCCACCAATAAGACGCTTCTAAAGTGGGACGACCTTCAGCACACTCTGAGCTTTGCTTGGGATATGCACGTTTATGGCACAGGCTCCCTGTTTCTTCTTTTAGCTTTAATCGCACTCATCAACCTCATCGGATCTCCCATCCTACAAGTGACCTACCTCCCTTATGTTATCGTTGCCAACACCCTCTTGTTCGCAATTGGAATCCTCAGAGGCGTGTTTTTCCTCCTGGATCCTTACGGGACAAAAGGGAAGATTTCGAAACCTATTGCTCTTGTCCTTTGCAACGTCACTTTCCCGCTTATCATCTCCACATTTGCTACCTTGGTTCTTTTGGTTCTGAAGATTGCCCGTCTTCAACTGCTGCCACCAAAGTTTCAGAGCCTGGCATTGTTGGCCGTTATTGCAGTTATTCACTTTATTGTCCTCCTGAGCGCTGATCTCCTGACCCATCTCCTGAACCCTTCTGTAAACATGGTCTTGCAGATCCTCTCCATTTCTTGGGGCATATTTCTCATGGTGGGTCACTTTGTGGCTTATTATCGACTGCGGAAGAGCAGCAAAGATATTGTGAATGAAACCCAAAGGGTATCGCCCGTGGAAGACATAGCAGTGGTTCAAACCCAAGGACGAAGTATAAAGTGTATGTTTACATCCTCCAGAGTGTTATTAGTTGGCAGTATTTTTGGACTCCTTTGCTGTGGCATGCAGGTGTACGCCATATTATGGCTTTATGGGCTACTTGGTCGGAAGAATGAATTTTACTGGTCTTGGTGGTTCCTTCAGTTCTGGTACAGGATCTTTGAATTAGCTTTGTGTTTCTCCATGATATTTGTGGCCTCCCACAGTTTCTGTCTACAGTGCAGCAGCAGCGATCACACATGCTGGTCCAAGATCATCAGCTACTTTTGCACCTACAAAAAAACCGAGGCACCAGAGTATCCGAACAACTGCTACGACTGGACGAACAACATCCAAGACAAGATGGTCAACAACAACATCAGTAAAAGCATCATCAGGAACCAGGCTGAGAATGTTCCTCTCAGAATCCTTAAAGAAAACAACGAGATGAAAAGTTCCGGGGTTGGCAACAACAGTCGTTCTTCATCACCTCTCTTCAGACCTAAGCCAGAAGTGGTGTTTGCCGCAAAATCTCAAAACGTGACTATGGGCCGCTCTTACACCAGTATTTGTTTTGAAAGGCAGTCTATGCTCTCACTGGCCGATTTTGAGTTTCGACCTCCGTCGCCCATCAATCTGAGCAGAAGCATTGACGAAGCTTTATTTAGAGAACATTTAGTCAGAGACAGCATATTTTTGGATTCCAGTCTTCAGTACCCCGGTTACCTAACAAGACAGGACTCTTGTTCTTCACTGAAGGAATGTTCTGCAATGAACCAAACCATTGACCCTTTGATTTCTGCAGACCTAAAGATGAGAAGATGCAGCAATCCAGACTACATGTACAGCTTGGCCGAAGGTAGTTCGATGACGGAGGTGGACTCTCCGAGTGAAAGTATACAGCAGAGCAAAGAGCTTCCTGAAGACGTCACAACAGGACCAATGGTTTCTGTTAGCTCCATAGACAGTGTTTCCAGAGGGTCCATCAAAATCAGCTGGAATCCTTGGCGCCACGGCCTGTCTTCGGTGGAAAGTCTTCCTCTCGAAGACACTCCTTCGTCTCAACTTCTAAAGCAAGGATCACAACCTAGCATCATGTCCAAAAGCAGCGAGCCTGAGAAATCCTTTGGGAGGAGATTCATGGAAAGAAGTCAGACCACAGATTCAAACAGCATTGCTAGCGAGACCATCGAACTGTGATATGTCGGACAAGTGTTAACAAGCATAGACATGTGACAAAGAAAAAGGTTGCAATGGTTTTTAATAACATTCATTACTAGGAAGAAGAATAAAAAAAAAAAAACATGTAAAAATCTTTTTTTCTTCTTTTGAATGAGGAAAAACTGATGTTTAAGAAAGCAACAAAGACTATACGCGTACCAAGAATCCTCTGATTGGTTATTATATATAGTAATTCTCTGTAATAAGCACATTGCGTGTCCATGTTTATAGGCAACAACAATGCTTTACCTTTTTTTTATTTACGGAAATTTTTTTAAGTATTTATTTTGAACTGTTAATGTGATTTCCTTCACAGGCCAAATACAAAGGCTAAAGCCATTACCTGAAAGGACAACAAGAAGTATATTTTTGACTTTGTTATTTTATCTGAAACACAATCGTACGGACAGGGTTTTTGTCCCTGTTGCTATGGATGTAAACTCTTAGAATATCATTATACGGAATTCTAAAACTTATAAGAACGATATGTAAAATGTGGTACTATGAGTATTTTGAAGGTACGTGTCAAGCAAGCCAAGCAAAAGGTAAGACATTGGATGTGCATTAGAGGTATCCATGGTAAGGGTCTGAGGTCTGCACTTTTATACTAGAATATTAGGCCCAATTTAGACTGTCAAGGTGTTAAAATCGTTTTGTGAACTGTGTTTAATGACAAATGTATTCTTTTGAGGAGACATATGCAGTGAAGTGTTGAAACACACAGGTAAAAGGAACCGCAAAGTCCATGATGCGGTCACCATAGTTGTATTCTACAGACCAACCAGGTCTGATATGTAAAAACTGAAGGGAAGCAATGTATTGCCACAACTACCCATAGGTGCACTAGAACACCAACCCGCACTTGAAAAATGACAGCTGAAAATGTACTTGGTTGCTAATGGACAACAACGGAACCTTTATTTAGCCATAGGATAGTTCCAATGTGAATTTTAAACATCATAAACTTTTCTTTGCTATCTGCTGCTCTGTTTGGCAGTCATGGCGGAATAATAATACACAGTACTTGTGAATATGGAGATCATGTGACTTACTCCCCTTCCAGCTATGGCGCTTGATGATTGGCCACTCATGGCCACACATGGTGGCGGAGAGAGATTTTTATAGCCCTGTGTAAGCTCCAAGTCATAATTTGGAGCTTATACAGAACTTACTCACTGTTCATTCCTAGCAGCCAAATAGAGCGGTAGAGGAGCGGAACAAAGGTGGATATGGCAAGCTTGGGAGGGCCTTTTTTGGGTTGTCTATTTTGCTTCCCTTAAAAACCCCCATAAAATAAGAAGTTCCTGTAAAAGATAACAGTTAATACTTACCTATCCTGCCGCCCACACCACCAATCTTTGCTCTGTTGACGGACTACTACTTCTGGGTGTGTTGGATACCTGCTCCCCCCTAAGCACTGTGGTTCCTCCCACTGGCCCGTGTATCCTGTAGTGATGTAGGGGGTCAGTGGATTTAACCACATTGTGTGGTCCAGGACTCAGGAATCCAACACCTCCAGAAGAACCGTAGATTCTACCATAGGGTGTAGTTTTGCAAGAGAGCAAAGGAAGGACCCACTGCCTAAGGGAGAGTTGAGCATTAAAAGACTTCTTTTGCAGAGGACATATTTTTAAAGAATTTTATTTGGCAACACAGTCACTTTAAAGTAATCCTGTTGGTTCGCCCTGGATGTGCGGGGTCACCGAGGATGTGTGGGGTCACCGGAGCTGTGCGGGGTCACCGGGGCTGTGCGGGGTCACCGGGGATGCGCGGGATCACCGGGGAATGTGCTGGGTCAGTGGAGATGTGCGGTGTCACCGGGGATGCGCGGGATCACCGGGGAATGTGCTGGGTCAGTGGAGATGTGCGGTGTCACCGGGGATGCGCGGGATCACCGGGGAATGTGCTGGGTCAGTGGAGATGTGCGGGGTCACCATGGATGTGGCGGGTCACAGGGAACGTGCGGTGTCACCGGAGAAATGCAGTGTCACCGGGGCTGTGAGGGGTCACCGGGGCTGTGAGGGGTCACCAGGGATGTTGCTAAAGAAATCCGTTATCTTTTGTTGTGAGCGATTACTGGAGACAAAATAGAACGGCTTTCTTTAGCAATCACAACAATCCTCCAACTGTAGTCACAGGTAAACAAAATAAAATGATCTCCCGATCACTCTGCACTGCCCAGGAGGAGGTACCACTATGAATATTAATGATGCTCGTGCACGAGAGAAGCAAAGCATTGTGGGAAAAGGAGTTTTTCCACACCCTAGACTGTAGCTTCCACTGTAAAAAGCAGTCTGGCAGCCATTTTATCCAGGATCTGCATATGCCGGCATCATCTGCACACCGTGTGCATTGCTGGCATATGTTTTTTTAAACTGCAAAGGTGGAAATGTCCTTGAAAGTCCCCCCACAACTGATGTATCATCTTGGGTGAGCAGCTTCTTATATCTCATGCAGATTCGTATGGGAGGTTCTAACCATGTAGAGTTCCAGGTTCTCCCTCCGCCATTCATCCAATGGTGTCCACCAAGACTTCAATAAAGCTTTCAGACATATCCAATGGTGTCCACCAAGACTTCAATTAAGCTTTCAGTTATATGAGCCATTGTGGCTCATATAACTGTTGTCATCAAAGCCTTCACCACCACAGGACCTATATACAGAGGTCACAAGGTTCCCCCTCAGATACCTGAAAACTACTTTGGAGGAGGGCTGGCAGAAACTTCCATGGATTAATAAAATGCAGGCATGGGTTGTATCAATGCCGGCTGAGTTTTGGAGGTAAAAAGACACAATTGTCCCAATTCATCAAGCTTCATTGGCATTTAAGGAATGCTAAATAGCACTTAAGGCATGTTAACATGACATGCAATAAATACTGCCTGAGCGGGCACTTTAGCATGCTTTAAGCAGAATTTAAGATGCTGCTAGGAGCTTGATGAATTAGGGCCAACGTGTATCATTTAGAAGATAAGCCCTCAATGAATCACATTGGCTCACAGTTAAGTCCACATCCAGTCTTCATTGACCTTCTATTACATAAGTGTCAGTATTTGCAGAGATGCTTTATAGTTTGTATTTGAAGGGTCATTCCACCTTCTATTTCGGTTGTTGGCTAGATGCTCGTGTGTTGAGTTACCCTTCTCCGGTGCCGGTATTCCTGCATGTGATTTATCAGGTCCTCCAGCCTCCCCAACTACCACAATGGGCAGCAGGAGGAGCAAGATGTCACTTAAGGGGAAGGAACCTTACAATACAATACGGAGATCCCACTAGTGAAGTCGCCAACAGAAAATGGAGCCAGTTGGTTATTTAGCTCACTAGCGTCCAATCAGAACGGGCGCCACTTTACGGTGGAGTGACCTTTCCATGTGTGAAAGTCATTTTATATGTATATCTGTCTTTATACCAGTGTATGTATGTACACACGCTGTTTTTATTGCACCAGCAACTATTGAAAGTGAAGAGTTCCTAATTATGAGTGCTCCCGCCAGACCAGTGGAGGGTGCACATGGCAGCTGAAGCGGGAGACCGGTGGTCCGGCATGTCGGTGTGCAGTGTACAAATAAAGCTGTGACAATCTGAAGACAGGCGATCACATGACTCGGTGTGATACGCCTATCACTGCGCAGGAGCTTCCATATTTGTACCTGTATATTACTTAGTATCTAGGCTTGTGTGCCAGCCATGCTGTGTGCCAAATTACCCTTGTAAATAAAATACGTCTGTAAAAACAGGATGCACGCATGCGGCTTTTGTTATTTCCTGTACTGGAGGACCCTGACAAGTTGCTCGGTAACCCTCGGTAACCCCATGTAGTCTCAGCTCATTAGGACCCTGAATCATCAAACAACAACAGCATAGAAGGCATGCTAAATAGCAATGAAGGCAGGCTAAGCTGACATACTGTCTGGGAGGCCACTTTTGCATGCCCTAAAGTGTATATTTAGAAAAAACGTTTAGTATTTTAGTTTTGTACAAAGTAGGGCGTGTTTCATTAATACCCGTTGACTTGTTTTTGGCTCAGTACCATTGTAGAATTTGCATTTTACTTCCAGACCCGGAGATGCAACAAGAAGCAGGAAGAAATCTCTAGGAAGTGAAGGGAATGCCGCTCACTTTCTGGAGATGTGAAAAACAGGCAGTTGTCACCATTTTGTCACCATTCTTGTACTATTGTGATGTGTCACCTGCACGCCTTACAGCGATTGGACCTTGATTAATAGTCGTGGTGATTGCACGGATGGCACCGTGTTTTCCAAGTCATAGAAAACGGAGACAGTGGCGTCACAAGGGCGGTGCGGCCCGCAATCGGGTAACACCATTGGAGGGGTGACACCAAAATGACTGACAGTCATTTTGGTGTCACCCCCTCTAAAAGGTTGGGCACTCGATCATGGACTGGGAGCCCAACAGTGCCAGGAGAGAGGAGGGGACCCGGCGGCATACCTCATCCCACCGGGTGAACATCCCCTTCTCTCTCTGCCGGCGTCCATCACCAAGATGGACCATGTGCGATGACATCATCGCGCACACGCGTGGTGACGTCACGTGCATGCGCAATGACGCCACGGCGGGGTGTCATCCGGTCTCCACTCCGGGTGACACCCAGCCGTGGGACGCCCCTGGGTGGAGATCACCAGCACTCGGTCAGAAGCATTAGATTCCTTTGCAGGTCACAAGCGTCATTTAGCCGACGTTTCTGGGCCACGCAGTTTTGACTGAGTGCTGGTGATCTCCGTCTTCTACCTCTCTTGTTCTGTCACATTTTGGATTTCCCACCACTTACTGCCTCGGTGGCAGTAGCCACTAGAACACACAGAGGAGGCGAATCTCTTCAACCGGGACACATACCACAATAATACCTGACAGAGGGTCTAACCTTTCCCCACTCTATCCAAAACCAAAAAAGATGTAAAAGGTTTGGCCTGTACGTACACTTCAATGTCCTGTAACTTGAAGCTTGATGAAACATAGCTCATGTTGTTTGTTGGTGGTGAGGTAACCTTTATCCAAATTCTCAGCATTCAGTACTCAGAACACCCTCATCATACAACTCCCAACTACAAACACGTACAAGGAAATACAACTCTGCGTGAAGAAATTGTTAGTCTAGACAAGAGCACCTGGATATGCAGCGATTTACAAAGAACATAAAGTAAGGCTGTCGGTGTTCTGCTTCAAATATATCTAACCCCCCCCCCAAAAAAATACATATACTGTATATACATATATATTTCCTGACACTATTCATGGCAGCATAGAATGGGTATGGCTCCGCCCCCAGCCCATTGTATGCTGCCATGTACTGGCATCAGGAAAGGAAAATTACCGAAAACACATGTGCCTTTGTTCATCTCCATTATGTGGTGAATTGATGGGATTGATGTTGGCTATGTGTTTAGATGAAGCACTGAGATCTGCTGGAGGAACGCTGAATTAAGTTTGACTTGCTTAGCAGAATATTGCATGTATATAGGAATACAGCATTGTGCAGAAAACAACAGATAAAAGAACTTACCATAGATAAGCATGCATATAGAAAACTAACATTGCACTACAGCGCCATCTACAGCTCAGAAGACAAATCACAGTCAGTAGTAGAATCAGTACAGATCAGAAGATGTTGTTGCATTTCTAGTAGTTTACACAATGAAGATAAGG